TATGGTTCTCTTTTAATTCTTTAATTTGTTCATCGGAAAAGTTTTCTTGTTTTAAATGCTTTTCGATTAGCGCCTTTTCAGGTTTATCAATACTCGGCAGTGAAATAAACAATGGAATGCGACCACCTTTCTCATAGCGTTCCCACAAGTTACAGGTTAGAAAACGGTTGAAGGTCGATTTACTTGCACCCGGATCACCTAACAAGAGCAATATTTTCTTTCTAGGATCTTGTAAAAGTTCATTAACCTTGTCAAGTAATGGAAAGGTGACCGTATCATTAATAGAAAATTTCCCTTGGGGGTCAATATAAATATCGTTGATATTTAAGTTTTTATCCTCATTATCTTCAAGTTTCCGTAAATCTTTTTGTTTAAGTTTCAGTAAATCTTTTTTAACAGCAGGACGCTTCTGGACGGCATCTAACAGGGAGGTTGGAAAAGGAGTTTCTGACAGTGGCACAGAAAACTTCGACAACAACTGACCATCTTGAGGATACGGGCAATGAGGACCCCAGTCAGCTGTATTCTTATGCACGTCTTCTAAAAATTCTAAGGCCTTTTTTCTTATACTGTCATCTGAGTGGGTATTAGCTAGACGCTCCAATTGTTTGCAAAAACCCCACAAAAATTCTGGCTTCTTGCCGCAAGGAACCTTTCTTACAAATATTTCCAACTCAACCAATTTATTGCTCTGAATAAGAAGGTCGGTGTATCGAAGAGCCGAATACCAGGGTTTTAGACTATCAATCTTTAGGGCTTCGCTAATACTCATACACCCGTCAAAGATTTCCTGAATATTCTTCATAACCTCGGGTAATCCTTCGAATGCCTTACTGAAGCTTTCGAATGCACTAATTAATTGTGAAGGATCAAATGTTCTAATTGAACTTGCTATAGCCAAAACACCTCCAGTTATATTAAGGGTGCGACGTATGATACTTTGCCACGGTTGTTCGTCATTAGGTACATGCAACAATGCCTGACAAGCATACTTTGCTTGATAGGCTAACGCAGAATTGTTGCTTTCACTCAAGTCCCGAAGCTTTTCATATAATGGCCCGTGTAATTTTTCTCGGCTTAGGCTTGTTATATTAATATCCGCCATGGCATCCAAAAGATAAGAAATGACCTCTGTGAGTTTATAGAGTGTATTCCCACCCTCTTGATAATGGGTTTCTTGCAAACGCTTTGCTAGAATTTTTAATATTTGAACTAATCCATCTGCACTATTTTCGTCCAAGAATTCGGAATTACCGTTTTGAATTACTTGGGTTAAACCTTCTAGCAAAGCTAAATCTGAAAAAATACCTTCACTAATAGGTCGAATAAATTGCTCGAGTAGGGGTTGATATATGAATTGGTCCGGTATTGATGCTAATACTACGGCTTCTTGAATTATG